CTTGTGGTCCTCTCGGGAAGCCTCCTTGAGGCCTCTTGGGGCGTCATGGAGGCATCTTGGGCCGTCTGGAAGCCATCTTGGGCGTCTTGGAACATTGATTCTGCGACTCGGGGCCTTCTTGGAGATGCCTTGGGGTCCTCCTGGCCCGCTCTGAGGCCGTCGATGCCACCCTCGCAGAACTGCTGGAGCAAAGGACGCCCCGCGGCCGGCCCGGCCGGCCCGGGTAAACCCTCCCCCCCTTCAATCGGGGGCGGAAAGGAGGGGGGTGATGACCAGGGGGGGATGAATATCATGGCGGGGGACATGATATTTCCCTAGATTTCATGGCGCCTCTTCTTGTTTCATTACGTCCCTGGCCCCCCCGCTGGGCCGCGCACATGCCGCCGGTCATGATTTGCACCCCCCTCCTCTTGGACACCCCCCTCTTGGCCGCTCCCGAGTCAAATCGACCGGATCAGGCTCCTGGGGGAGGGGGAAGCATCTCACACGCCGATGAACCCCAAGGGGTCGGCAGGTTTTAGCCTCTTGGGACTCCCAGCGGCTACCTGGAGTCATTTTGCAGCTTTCTCGGGACCTCTTGGGGGCCTGTTGGAGACCATCTTGATCCAGCTAGTGCCATCCAGGTCCCTGGGGATGGACTTCCCTTTCTATAGAGGGTCACTCCTCCACCCCGATTTGTGGCCACGAGGCCAGCGTGGGATGGCCTCCACGACGGTCCAAGATGTCATCCAAGACGGCCACACCGGCGTCGAAGACAAGGCTGGGCAAGGCAAGGGCATACAGGACATGACAGTATGCGATAGCAAGGTCCCAAGACAGTGTCAGAGGTCCCCAAGACAGCACGGAGCCGCAAAGACCACCTAAGAGGGTCTCCAGAGGGCTGCAAGAGGTAGGGCCCGAGACAACCTCAAGAGGGCCCAATACGTCGCCAAGAGTGCGCAAAGCAAGCCTCCAACGGGCCGCTCAAGAGGGTCTAAGAGGCGCACAAGACGCTCACGAGAGACCCGTCAGACCGCCAGAGCTATCCCACGAGACTGAGAGAAGCCCCACGGCAGAACCCAACTAGGTGCGAATACCCACGCAGCTGCCAGCAGCATCACGCAGTAGCAAGCGGCAGCGCACGACAGTACACAGCAGGAGCACCAGTAAGCGGCTCAAGTAGCAGCGCTGCACACTGTGCCCACTCACTGTGCCCCGCAAAGCCGGGGCGCGCCCAGCGGCTAGCTGGCCGCCCCTGCACTGCTTGCTCTTGCTGCTGCTTTCCCCTTCTCCCCCGCCCTCCCCTTTTGCTTTCCCACTTTCCCTTTCAGTCGCCACGGGGCGCACTCCCTCTCCGGATGGTTAAGAAAAGTGCCCACTCACCGTGCCCGAGGTCGGTTTTGCGAGGAGGCGTGGCCCCGGGGGGGAGAGAACCCGTCGTGTTCTGCGAGGGGGTCGAGCGAGGAGCGCCTGCTTCTCGGTAGGCCTCGCGGGAGGCCAGGCGTCGTGGGGCACGCTGGGGGCTTAGGCCCCCGGGGAGCCTCTCTTACAGAGGGGGCTGCCGTCTGGTGGCCCCAAGTCGTTAGGTTCCTGCTGTCATTGCTGGGGCGGGGGCGACGCGCCGCGCGACTTTTTTTGTTTTGTGTTTTTTTTTGTTTTGTTTTTTTGTTTTTCTTTTTTTTTTCTCGCAAAAACAACTAAAGACACTTTTTTTCTGTGATTTCAGTATTTTAGTGCAGCAATCGGCCGAAGTGCAAGCAGTATGCCTGAAGCGATCCACGTGCCAGCTGTACAGTGACATCTGATTCTCGGCGCAGAAGGGGGGAACTGAGAAGGGGCGGGCCTTCTCAGAAGGCTCGGACGTCCCCGGGCCTTCTGAGAAGTTTTTGTAAGTCTTCCCGGAAGACACATAACGTTTCTCAGAAGGCGCGAGGGCTTCCGAGAAGTCCAGCCGTCTTCTGAGAAGGCCTGCTCCTTCTCACTTTCCCCCCCTCGCTCGCCGCCGAGTTTCATCTATACTTTGCTGTGGTCTGTGCGAAATTTGCCCTTGGTGGCTACACAATCTCTCCTACCTCTACTGCTGCATCAATCTTCAACAATGGCCAAATTACCAGACTGAGTCCGCTGCCTGCAGGCCCCGCAGGGGTGCTGGCAGATTTCCCGCGCAGCCAGATCAACGTCATGTGGGCGAATTTCCACGATATGAAGACGTTGGAAGAGAAGCAGGCCGCGGTGAGCAACTTCTACAACGTGGTCAACAAGTTCCCCGTGCTCGAGTCCAACCCCTACAAGGTGTTCCTGGCGCTGGAGCCACAGGTGAAAGACCTGACTAGAAAACTCTCGACCACGTTGAACGACGTCCTGAAGCCCTATTTCTCGGATTTTGAGAAGCACATCGATCAGCACGTCATCCCCTCGTTGAACAACTACCATGACCAGAGTACACTCGCCTCGGTGAAGGAGGACCTGGACCGCACTCCGGTGGGCGCGGAGCTCGACCAGGTCCTCGTGGAGGAGATGCCCTGCTTCAGCGTGATGCTCAACAGCGTGAGCATCGCCGAGGTTCCCGACGAGGCTCTGATTGCCCAGGAGCTGCTGCTTGAGTGCCGGCTCGCGGTGGTGCGTTGGCTCACCAAGCAGGGCGTGCAGTTGCACGACCGCGCCATCGACCAGCACCTCTACCGCATCTGCCAGTTGGCCGTGCCGCAGGTCAAAGACGAGAACGAAAGGGACTGGGAGCTGGAGTCCAAGCTCATGGTCTGCGACAAGCTCTGCCAGACGATCGAGTCCCGCAAGTCGCACATCAAGGCCCTCAAGAATACGGACAAGATGGACTGGTGGCAGGTGACGTGCTGCAACCGCCTCGGTAAGTACTTGCGGTACGCTTCGTTTCCCTGGATCGTGACGGGCTTCTACTTGGTAACGGTCGACGAGCGCATCAAGTTCGAGCTTCTGAACCGCTTTCTGAAGAACACCCATACGTTCTCGCAAATCTTCCAGAACGAGAAGCCAGACTGGGTGCGCGACTGGAAGAAACAGCTCCTGGCATGTATGAAGCATGTCAATTTCAAAGACTGGGTCAAGAAGTGCAGGGCGCACCAGAACCCGTCTGCCGTCTACAAAGAGATCTTTGTGTGCATGGAGCAGGCCTGCGACATCTACCGCAAGATGGCGCTCGACCTCAAGGTCGTGACCAGCAGAAACGTCTGCATCGACCACCTCTTGGAGGTCTCGTTCGTCATGGTCCAGCGCTTGTTTGTGCGCAAGCCCGCCCAGGTCGACATCCAGTTCACCAGCTTCGCGGACCACCTCCGGAAGGACGCCAAGCAGGTCCACGAGCTCTCCGAGACGCTGGCGGAGATGGAGAAGGCGTCCCCGGCAGAGGTCGTCCTGCTCTGCACGCGCGCCCTGGAGCTCATGCGCGAGAGCAACGGCGACCGCATGGAGGAGTTAGGGGGCCACATGCGGACCCTACCCCTACCCCCCACGATTTCTGAGCGGGGGGGTGGGGTTCACTTCGTTCGGGAGCTCCCGAGCGAAGTGAACCCCACCCTCCCCATCAGACATCGTGGGGGGTAGGGTTTACGTCGGGCCTGACCCTCTACAGGAGGAATATTCAAAAATCGTAGAAAAACAAATAGTCAGGGGACGATTTGTTTTGTCTCTTTTATCATTCTTGGAGTATTTTTTGGGAACTTTTTTCATGTTTTCGTCCAACATCCGCCTGTAGGAGGACAGGTCCGACTTAAGGGTCGGGGTACTCCAGATTTCGTAATAAAGGGAGGGGGGTCTCATTTCGGGGGGGGGGTCTCTTCCAGGCTATCTTGGAGGGCCGGGGGGGTCTGGGGACGATGCTTTGGAGGGTTCTCCCACGGGGGAGGTCTGAACTGGCTTGTCTTGGAGGGTCCAGACCCCCTCCCTTTTATTACGAAATCTGGAGTAGGGTTCGCACGTTGTCCCCGAGGAGTGGCGCCACCGCATCGCCGACATGGAGGCCTCCCTGCCGGAGACTGGCGGCGCGCACAAAGGGGGGGTGGGGCACGGGGGGTGGCTCTTCTAAGGAGGCACGGGAGCTCCTGATGAGGGGGGGGAGGAGGAGGAGGAGGAGGAGGAGGAGGAGGAGGAGGAGGAGGAGGAGGAGGAGGAGGAGGAGGAGGAGGAACGGGAGGACCCAGGAGGAGAGGGAGGAGGAGGAGGAGGAGGAGGAGGAGGAGGAGGAGGGAGGATCGGGAGGAGGAGTAGGAGAAGGAGGAGGAGGAGGAGGAGGAGGAGGAGGAGGAGGAGGAGGAGGAGGAACGGGAGGATGAGGATGAGGAAGAGGAAGAGGAGCAGTATGTTTAGCAATATTAGTACTAATATGAATGGTAATACAAAGAAGAGGAATGTTAATAATACTATTAAGAACAATAAGATACAGCCTGATAGTAAGTGTAAGACCAGTACTAATAATATAATATTCACAGCTATAATAAGCATAATAATACTAATGAGAAGAAGACTAATACTGATAATAATGAGCAGAAGTGGAGGATGAGGATGAGGAGGAGGGGGACAGCCCTCCCGATTCCCCAGGAGCCTTCCCGCAGGCCTCCAGGCCCTTCTGAGAAGGCCCCCCCTGCCTTCAAAGGCCGCCCTCCTCGCGCCACTCTTCCTGTGCGCGCTGCCAAGGAGATGTCGCACCTCATCGCGGAGCTCACCACAGATTTCCAGCGCCACGAGGACAACGTCCTGCTCGTCAGCGGCCTCAGGTACGACGGGGACCAGGAGCCCCGCCAGGCGCCGCGGTCTGCGTGGCAGTGCCTGAGCAATGACGGCTGGAAGCTTGTCGACGTTGGCTTCAACGAGATGCTGCACAAGGCCGCTGCGGCAGAGAAGGCTCGAAGATCAAATGTTGGCATAAACGTGCAATTGCGGAGGTCCGCGCGGACCTCCGATAGTTATGTTTGTGCGGATTTCGGTTATTCTAAAGGCGTTCTTCTACTTCCACCAGCCGATGAGCGGCGACATCTGCGAGGTGTCGGAGCGCGACGCCCAGAAGTTCCAGACGGGCCCGGTCATGAAGGGCGACAGGATGTTCAAGGTGTCCTTTGACACGGAGCGCGCCAAGGACCAGGTTCCGACGGCCAGCGTGGTCGAGATCCAGACTGGCGGCGGCTTCGCCGACGACGACATGAGCACCAACTTCTCCGCGGCCAGCTCCAGCGACGGCAACAACGCGCGCAAGGCCAGCGTCCAGAGCAGCGCTGGCGCTGCGAGCGGCGTGGACTCCGGCCAGCGCCCGCTCGGCGAGCCCGACAAGGATCGAGGAAGAGAACACGGCACAAGCAGAACGCTTCGGAGGGCCGCGCGGATTGCTCAGATCGGCGCTGCAGACTCCCCCGCCCTGGGCGCGCTCTGCGCCGCTAGGGGGGGGTCCAGGGCCGACGCAAGACATTTGCGCGGGACTTCCGATGGTTTGCTCCAGTCGTGGCGTGGTTTCCGGCCCAACTCTCCAGGTCGATTCCGAAGGTCGCCGCGGCGATCGCGGCGGCCGCAAATCGGGGCAAGCTTTTCGGCCGAGGAGTAGCATGCCCCATCCCAGCCCTCCTTTCCGCTCTGCGATATAGACGTGGCTCATGGTTCACACTACAGCGACAGAGAGTTGTCAACTTATGCCCAAGATGGGCAGTCATATTCGCCACCCCAACATACTAATAGTATGCGTGCGTCGCCCCCACCCAGCAGCGACGCGCGCGCCGAGAACTCTTACAGTATATGCTTCGTGGCGGGCGCCTTCTGGCCACACCGCTCGGGAAACGATGCACGACAAGATGGCTGAACTGTACGCTCGGGTCGGACGTACGCCTCCAAGGAGGACACATAGTGCTGCGTCCCTTCTGCGTCCCAGAATCGGTCAGCTATCCAGGGGGTTTTCGGCGAAACATTAAACACATTCAAAGCATGAGCAGCAATGCTCAGACATAGCTTAAAACATCGTCCCCATATTATTGTCTGACTATCTTGGAGTACTCCTCCTGTAGAGGGACAGGCCCGGCCTAAAGTGGTCTCCCTCTCGGAGGAGCTGGAGCCGGCGGCCAGGGTCAAGCTGGTGCGCGAGGGCCTGCACGGGGCCTCGGCGCCGCAGGCCCCGGACGGGCGAAGAAGGGCACGGGACAAACCTTCTCCAGTCGGGAGCCGTGGAGGAGGAGGAGGGGGAGGAGGAGGAGGAGGAGGAGGAGGAGGAGGAGGAGGAGGAGGAGGAGGAGGATGAGGCTGAGAATGGTGAGGAGAGGAGGAGGAGGAGGAGGAGGAGGAGGAGGGAGGAGGAGGAGGAGGAGGAGGAGGAGGAGGAGGAGGAGGAGGAGGAGGAGGAGGGGGGGTCACCACAAACGGGGAGCAGCCAGAGCTCCGAGCACTGCAGGATCCTGCAGTGCCATGCTTCCGCTGGCCCCTGTCCGCGCGCGGTCCGCGCGCGGGATCCAGCAGGATCCTGCAAGGCCTGCCGGGGATCTGCGGTGACCCAGCTCTGGTTCTAGCCAGCATTTTGAGGGCGGGCAGGTTGGAGGTTTGGGGTTCAGGGAGGCCTTTGTCGTTTTCGGCTTCGGGGAACTGTCTTCGGGCCCCAGGGCAGTGCAAACTATGGATCTTGGGTGAAGAACTGCATCAGATGGACCCCGGCAGGGATCGGGGTCCGATTTAGATTGGATTTGGCTCCATCCCCTCCTCCTGACAGACTTTCTGGGTTCCCAACCAGTTCAGACCCGCGGCCGCTTCCAAGCTGCGGCTGTGCGCTTTACCATGCACCGCGGCGCAGCCGATTCGATCCCACTTCGATTCCGTGCCGACGCGGCCCGCTCTCTGATGCCTGCTCCGAGTCGACCCGCTTGGCCGATTCGAGGCCGACTGATCCTGCCATCTTGGCCTCCCCAGAATCCTGGGTTCAGGCGACACCTTGGGCCAGGGCGGCTGGGAAGTCTGCGCCCCCGCGTGCCGCCGCAGGGGCACGCACGTCTGGGCCGCCCGGGGACAGGCCCCGCCCTCGACGGAGGAACCGCCTGTTCTTTGCGCCGCTCCTTCCCCGGGAGCTCCGACGCCGTGGTTTTTTCACAGCGTGGACCCTTGCGGGCCCTGGCCCCTCCTCTCGCGCTGCCCTGGAAGCGTCCTGCAACTTGTTCGCTGATTCTTCTGTGTTTCGTCGTCTTCGTTTTTTCCGCAGTGTTCGGCCTCTGGGGGCCGTCTTCGGGCCCCGGGGGCCGTCAAAGCTAAACACGAGATGAAACATTACTCCCAGGGAAGCTCCCTGGAGGGTATTTCGACACGGCTTGCCACATGTGTGTTACTGTTGCACGGGGGTGCAGGACTGGTGCTTCCCCAGGAGCAGTCTTTGACGGCCCCGGGGTCCGTAAGGGCTCCGGGAAGCCGAAGGCTGCCCAAAGCCGTCGGACGACCAGAGGGTGTGTTTGGGTCGTTCTCAGCTGGAGTAGTGGGTCTGGTGCGGCTGGGTTCGGCACCGAGGGGTGCAGTCGTTCAGTAGTTGTGTACTACAGTTGGGGCCCTGAAGAAGGGAACCCTTTTCGTTGGGGAGGGTCTCGGTGTTCCTTGATTGTTGTGCAATTTGCCTTAGGTTCCACTAAGGTTTTCCATAGGAAATCGAAGTTTAGCTTTTGGGAAAAAGGGACCTCGTTCCTTATTTAGGGTTCCTTAGGGCAACGCCCCGACTGTATCGCGTGGGCAAAAGTTGGCACGAAATATGCTGCACGGGCAACCTCCGTTGCATGCCAAGAAAGCTACGCTACACACGGGCGCGCACGCGCAACCGTGGCACCCAGCGCGCAAGTTGCTGCATCCAGGCGCCAACTGCAGCAAGTACTCTTGCGCCTCTTCCCGCGGATGCACCTGCCTCAAGCCCGCTCTCGCGTCTCTCTCTCTTTCTCTCGCGTCCTTGCTCCCCTCCCTCCTCGCGTCGCTCCCTCGCGTGAGAGATCGGCTGCCCCCCCCACCCCCCCGCGGGGGGGGCGAGGAAGTGCCCGCCCCGTGCGGCGGAGCCGCGCTCTCTCTCGGCAGCGAGAACCAATCTGCGTCCGGCTTACAGTCTTGTCCGCTCAAAGGACGCCCCCGTGCGCCGGCTGCGCTGCGCGCCGATGGTGTCGGGCATGGTGCCCGAGCACGTGGCCTCGGCGGTGCAGCGGGTCTCGGACGGCAACCACTTCCCGGTGCACGTGTCCCGGGCGGAGAGCTCGGACGAGCGCGCCTTCGGCAAGGCCGCGATCGAGGAGCTCGGGGGAGCGCCGGGGACGGGGGGCTGCATCGCCATCAGTGATGATTCATCACCATCGGCACTGCCAGCCTCATGAGCCTCTTCCTCCCTCCCCGGCCTCACCGCCTTCCCCCTCAATCGTCCTACTCCTTTTAGCTCGTTCTCCTCCTCCCCTCCTTCCCTCCTCCTCCTCCTCCTCCTCCTCCTCCTCCTCGTCCTCACCATTCTCAGCCTCATCCTCTATCCTCCTCGCTTCCCCCCGGTAGCGGGGTCCGAGGGGATGGGGTCGGAGGGTCGCGCCGCATCGCCGAGGCATCGCCTATGCCGCTCGATGTGCAACCAGATTTTCTCCGCTCCGACGGCGCCGATGCTTTGGTGTCGCCGATGCATCGCCGACGCATCGTCGATGCGCCGGCGTTTTCTGTAGTTTTTCGATGGCTCTCGGTTGGTTTCGAGATGTTTTTTATTGCGGCTGCTCCTCGCCGACAGCGCTCCAGGGGTGCCCAGATCGAGGAGCTGGGGGCGCTGGAGAGTGGAGGGGGGACTGTCGAGCAAGGCTTCAGTCGGGCGTGCCCCCTCTCGTAGTATGGGGACGATTTTTCGGCTATTCTTGATTGTTTTCGGAATGTGTTTCATTCCCGTCCAAAATCCGCCTGTAGGAGGACATGTCTGACCTAGCATGAGAACAGCATGAACATAACCTTTCGGAGTTCCACGCCCGTCTCCTGGGTCGCCGCCCCTCCGCGCGCCATGGGGGAGGGTCGGCGCCGATATCCGAGAAGTCTGCGCGGACTTCCGAAGTTTTTTGTGTTTGTGCCGTTCGCTTGTCTTGTTTACTTTATGGGCGCCTAGAAACAAGTCGGGCCTGTCCCTCTACAGGAGGAGTATTCAAAAAATAGCAAAAATAGTCTGGGGACGATTTTGTTGTTGTTGTGGTTGTGGTTGTGGTTGTTGTTGTTGTTGTTGTTGCTGTTGTTGTTGTTGTCGTTGTCGTTGTCGTTGTTATTGTTATCGTTGTTGTTGTTGTTGTTGTTGTTGTTGTTGTTGTTGTTGTTGTTGTTGTTGTTGTTGTTATGGTTGCTGTTGCTGCTGCTGCTGCTGCTGTTGTTGTTGTTGTTGTTGCTGCTGCTGCTGCTGCTGCTGCTGTTGTTGTTGTTGTTGTTGTTGTTGTTGTTGCTGCTGCTGCTGTTGTTGCTGTTGTGGTTGTTGTTGCTGTTGTTGTTGTTGTTGTGGTTGTTGTCGTCGTTGTTCTTGTTATTATTCTTGTTGTTGTTGTTGTTGTTGTTGTCGTCGTCGTCGTCGTCGTCGTCGTCGTCGTCGTCGTCGTCGTCGTCGTCGTCGTCGTCGTCGTCGTCGTCGTTGTCGTTGTCGTTGCTGTTGCCGTTGTCGTTGCCGCTATTGCTGTGTGTGAGAGATTTTTTTTTTGGTGGATATTCTCTGTGTGCTTCCTCCGTCCAGAAGCCGCCCGTGGGGGGACATGCCCGACCCGAGCCTGGCAGGGTTGGTGGGCCCTCCGGGGGCGACCCGGGGCCGCCCGGTCGTCGCCGGCCGACGCGTGCGGCGCCCCGCCCTGCCCGGGAGCGCGCAGTCTCGCCGCCGGGGGTCCCGTCGGAGGGGCTGCTCGGGGGGCGAGTCCGGCAGCGTCCCGACCCCTGGCGGCTGGCCCCCCGTGGGATGCCCGTGGGCTCGCCCGCCCCCGTGGCAGTGG